GGTTTTAGTTGGTTGAGCTGTTTCCAGGCTCTGCTTTTCTATGGGGGTTCAAATCCACTGATTTCTTGCCGTGTGCGGACGCTTGTTTTGCAAAGGGAACTTCTCTATAGACTCTACTGCTTTTTCCATACGAAGCCTCACATTTCTCAGTCTCAAGACCTAGTACAGAACAACATACAACTAGACTACTGTTTCAGTGTCAGCTCCGCATGTCTCAAAGACGGTCAAAACAGCTTGCCTTCTTCACTTCAGTAGGAGTGGCTCGAACTTCTTTGGTCAGCGCCCCCCATGTCTTCAACACCACGGACAATACCTCGACCCATGCAGTGCTTCATTGAACCACCCCTTCTTGTCTGACAATGGTTTTCGCCCTCAAATGGAAACTAGGCAAGCAACCTCAGCACTGGCGGTTTGACATCTAGCATCCGCACTGGCCTATCATGGAAAGCAGGAAGCTCACGCGGCCCTTGATGGGGATTTAACCATGCTTTGCATGGCTAATAACAAGATGCATTCTCTGTGAGACCTGGGTGACTTTCTGCAAGAAGCTTGAAGCGGAGGACACTAGTTGCCAGCCCTTGGTCGTTGGACGAGGTAGCTGAAAAGACATCCATGTACTTGCTGATAGCACCTTCTTGAAACGTCTTGACACCAACCTTAGAGCCAAACAGAGAACGCAGCAGCCAAACGCAGCTGCGCGAACTTGGCCTGCCAGTTTCACTGCTGATCTCCAATAAGCTCGCTGCTAGTAGCAATGTAATATCACCATCAGTATGCACAATTTAGCAAGCGTCTGTGAATGCCCGGATTCCTAAGCCTTCTTATCTTTTGGTACATTTCCTCTGCAAAGCAGCCCACCATCAGAATTGATGCAGGAAAACTGGATCAAGGATAGAATTCCAGAGAGAGGGTAAGGGGTCGGGACTTTAATTGTGAATTTTTACTGTACACTTTTAATTTGTATGTTCTTTGTTTTTGGTGGTCTGTGTGGTTCTCAATGGGAAAGGCATTACAAGTAGAGATTTTGTCTAGAAGAGTCATTAAAAACAAACAATGCAATAGAAAACTCATCAAAAGAGAGATTTCTATATAAGAGTCATTGAAAAAGACCGATTTTACCAGGAAAGTTATCAAAAGTAGCGATTGTGATTGGCCAAAATGAGAGATTGTGACTAGTAAAGTCATCAAGAGCAGAGAATTCAGTAGACAATTCATCAAACAATCATGTTTCAGCAGAAAAGTTATCAAAAGTAGAGATTTTAAGGGGCAAGGCATCAAAAGTACAGATTTTGACTAGAAAAGTGCATCAAAAGTAAATATGTTGACTAGAAAAGTCCTTTAAACAAACGGAATTCAATAGAGATGTCAATAGGTAAGTAATAAAAAAGTAACGATTACGATAGAAGAGGCATCACGATAGACATGTCTTCCATATTCATCAAACATAGCGATGTTGCTAGAAAACCCGTTGAGATAATGAGAGATTTTGACTAGAAAAGTCATCAAGAGTGGCACATTGGGCATTGGGAATCTTGTTTTTTGGTGGTTGTGTGGTTCTCAAGGGGAAAAGGCAAAAGGCATTACAACTATAGATTTTGTCTAGAAGAGTCATCAAAAGGAATGCAATAGACAATTATTTAAAAAAATAGTTCAACATAAAAGTCATTAATAGTAAAAAATAGTGATTTCATTGGAAAACCCGTTGAGATTTCAATATAAATATAATCCGGCATCGATACAAAAGTCAAAACCCACACAGAAGCCAAAAGCCACAAAAGCCACACAACCCAAAAGCCACACAGAAGCAAAAGCCAGAAGCCACAAAAGCGACAGAAGCCACACGCCACAAAGCCAGAAGCCACAAAAGCCAGAAACCACAAGAGCCACAGAAGCCACCAAAGCCACCTAATCACTAAAAACAAAGAAAAATCCATTAAAAACAACATGTTCCCTTAAAATCACCCTCCGAGGGTCAGGGCCGTGCGGCCCACTCGACCATGCTGCAACGTAGCTTAGTTGCAATACAGCCCTGCTGAAAGACGCTCGCACAAATGCCCGCCATTCGAATGCATCTTTCTGGCAGGTCGACACACACAATGCTTCCAGTACTCAAGGTCGAGCATAAAAACATTGACTCAAATAACTCAAACAGCACTAACAATTTGTACAAGTGTCCCAACAGACCATTTTGCGCCATGGCCATTCCTCTGCGCATTCATGCCCCACGGGTCCTGCTTACCAGTACTACTCCTATCGCCTCTGCTGACACAGCTTTTAGCCTCTGTTCCAGTTGGAGGCATGAGCGACAAAGGCCAAAGCAACACTCGCTTGAATAGAAACGAGAAGAGACCCCCCGCTGCAATCTACTACCCTGAGCGTCACACACCTGGAGCCCACTGCACAGGCAAACTTCGCAGAAGGCCCTTTTTGAGCCACAGGCTCTGGGAAGCAATAATCTCCACAGAATCGGGGCATATCGGGGCATTCAGCTCGCCCCTGTGCCCTGTGAGCTCAGAAGCAGCCCCGCCGAAGATTCTATAGCAGGAGGCAAATGCACTCCAATGTAGTTGGCAAAAGATGCAAAATCCAATCGCATGCCTTGCATCCATTCCACGTCAAAAGGAAGAAGATCTCCTTTGAACTGGCAGCCCCAACACAAGCAACTGGTGTCAATCCTTTGAC